CCTCCTCCTCGGCCTCCTCTCTGCCTCCTGGAAAAAGGCACTTGCTGGCATCACAGTGCCTGTGCCTCTCTCCAGCTCAGCGAATGCAGTATTGCCCTCCCATGATGATGGTGGTCTGATGGAAAAAGGAAACCTGATGAGCTCCTTCTGTCCTGGCATCGGGCAGGTGCAGGGTGTCCCTGCTCTTCCCCCTGTGCCATTTCCAGCTCCTGCGTGAAGCTGAACCCAGGACTCACAGAACAGTGCAGGGCCAGGACTGCTGGGGCAGATCCTGCCACAGCACAGCACTTGCACCCCCTGTGTTGTGAGCCAGGCAGAAGGACACCAACCTGAAGGGGATTTGGATCTCCGTCGTGAACATGTCCTAGATAAATGCCTGACTGTTCCTGCAGAGGGGGCACTGGAGGGATGAAACACCAGAGCACAGAGCCTGTCCCTGCAGGAGAAACACGAGCAGTCAGAGTGAGGCCCTGGTGCTGCTGAGACCCTGCTGAGCCCCCGCAGGAGTCCTCCTTGTCCCAGAGCTGCCTGGAAGGGCTGAGCTTTCTTGCTTGGGGTCTCAGGAAAGCTCCAGCAAACCTCGCCTGGCACAAATCTGCCTGTTCTTGTCAGGCTCTCACCTCCTGTGCCGCCCGGGAGACTACATCTAGGGTATTTCTTGGCAGAAAGCCCTGGAGTCCTACTTGACCAATGGGGAGCTGAGGAAATGATTGGCCAAAAACTGCAGGAAAATGACACACACTGATGAGGAGAGAGTGGCAGGGATTGCCTATCAGAATATGGAGGAAGCACACGGAGTAACTCACCAGGCAGAACTCGTGGGCACAGTTTTTTCTTTGCACATGTCCGGGTCAGTGTCTGGTCTCTTACACGGCAGCAATGCTGGAGGGGAGAGAGACAATGGCCCCAGGCATGGCACCTCTGCTGCCCACCCTGACAACCCCTCTGCCAGGCTGCGGGAGGGGCACTTTGCTCTCACCTGGCTCCCTCACTTCGGGGGCCTCCTCCTCCCTGTCTGACGTAGGGGACTTCTGGACTGGCTGGATGAATTTGAGGTCCAACTTTGCAGGCAGGAGTGGAATTGTCTCGCATTGTGTCAGCCTGGGCCTGCGCCTCCCAGGGCTTGGTTCTGGCACGTGGGTCCTGTCGTGGGGACTTCTGGACCGAAGCTGTGGACTGCGTGCCCAACGTTGCCGGCGGGAGTGGTTTCGCCGGCAGTCAGGCCTCCGACTGCTGGAGCCGCTGCTGTCCACAGTTTTTGGGAAGCTGCTGTGCAATGACCCCGACGTTACCTGACTGTCAGGGCTGGAGCTGCTCGTCTCCTGTGAGGGAGATTCCAGAGACTGCTCCGATGTTGACTATGGGTTGGTGTGGAGGTTGCTGGTCTCTGGAGCTGAAGATCGAAGGGATGGCACCTGGTTGCTGGTGCTGGGGCTGATGGTGTCCAGTGCTGGAGAACTGGGAGACAGCCCTGACAACACCAGGCTGCCTGTGTTGGGGCTGATGGTCTCGGGTTCTCTGGAGACCTCTGAAGGCTCCAATCCTGACAGTCTGGCCGTGCTGGGGCCAGCAAGCTCCAAATCATCTCTGGAGGCTGGAAGGGGAAGCAGAAATGTCAAGGCCACCTCAGGCCATGGGCAGGATAGACAAGAGCAGGGCCTCCAGCTCTCCTGAGGCAGACAGGTTCAGCCAAGCCCAACTCTGATACCCGCTGCTAGCCCCTGCCTGGCACCTGGCAGAGGGGCACCCGACGGCTTTGGAAAAGAGGACCCCAACCCCAGGATGGCTGGACAGCTCCTGCCTCCCCCTGCCTCCGCTCCCGGCCCCACGCTGCCCGCACCAACAGCCCCTCTGCCAGGCTGCGGGAGGGGAAATTTGCTCTCACCTGGCTCCCTCACTTCAGGGGCCTCCTCCTCCCTGTCTGATGTAGAACATCTCAGTGGGGAGTCCCTGTCTCACCGTCTGAGCGGTGAGTGGGGCTCCCAGCGCTGGGTGCTCTAACGTGGCTCCTGTCACGGCGACTTCTGGATCCTCTGGATGAATTTGAGGTCCGACGCTGCTGGCGGGAGTGCTGTTGTCTTTGGGAAGTCCTGGCTCTTGTCTCTCTCGAGTTTCTCCTCCCAGCACTTGGTGCTGGAGTGCAGTTCCTGTCACGGGGACTTCTGGACCGGACAGATGGATCTGAGGTCCGACTTTGCCGGCGGGAGCGGTTTCGCCGGCGGGATGTCCCCGATGCTTCCTGGCTGGGGGTGCGGCTCCCAGCGCTTGGTGCTGGGACATGGCTGCTGTCACAGCGACTTCTGGGCCGAAGCTGTGGACTTTGCGGGCGACGTTGCTGGCGGGAACTGTTTCGCCTTTGGGATGTCCCTGATGCTTCTTGGGTGGAGGTGCAGCTCTCAGCAGTTGGTGCTCTCGCACGGCTCCTGTGACGTCGACTTCTGGACCGAAGGTGTGGATTTTGGGGCCGACGTTGCTGGCGAGAGCGGTTTTGGCTGTGGGATGTCTCTGAGGCCTCCTCGCTGCGGCTGCGCCTCCGAGGACTTGGTGGTGGCGGTAAACAGATCCTTTCTGGAGGACTCGGGGACCGAAGGTGTGGATTTACGGGCCGACTTGGCCGGCGGGAGCGGTTTCGCCTGCGCGATGTCCCTGATCGTCTCTGGCTGGACCTGCTGCTCGCAGCAGATGATTCTGGCACATCGGTCCTGTCATGGGAACTTCTGGACCGAAGGTGCGGATTTTGGGGCCGACGTTGCCGGCGGGAGTGTTTTCGCCGGCGGTCGGGCCTGCGACTGCGAGAGCAGCTGCTGTCCTCGGTGTCGGGGATGTTGCTGTGGGATGGCCTCGATGTGGCCTGACTATAAGGCCTGGGTCTGCTCGTCTCCTGGGAGAGAGATTCCCAAGACTGCTCTGATGCTGCCTGCTGGCTGGTGCTGGGCATGACGCTCTCATCTTCTGTGGACACACCAGGAGACTCCTTCATGAGTTCAGCAAGCAAGGGGTCTTCACTGGAGGCTGTAAGGGGAAGCAGCAAGGTCAAGACCGCCCCAGAGCCAGGGCAGGATAGGCCAGAGCAGTGCCTGCAGCCCTCCAGGAGCTGATAGGCTCTGCCGGGACCACCCTGAGCTCCCATTGCCAGGGCCAGGGAAACCGGACCCAGTGGCATTCGGGTGCTTTGCTTCTTACATGTGAACAGCTCAGCACAGGTGTCACAATCACAGCTGTTTGTGCAGACCGTCCTGCCACAGCAGTGTCTGCGAACGTCCTGGCGAGCACAGTTGTCACATTCCCAGCTGGTTGTGCTGTCTCTCAGGCCAGAGCAGTGTCTGTGGGTGCCCTCGGCTGCACAGGAGGAGCACAGGAGCAGTTCCCAGGGCCTAGGGAAGCAAACAGGTTCATGGAGCTGAGGACAAAGTGTCCAAGCCCTGCAGAGCCCCAGGACGCAGCTTTGGCAACTTACCCCTCCTCCTCGGCCTCCTCTCTGCCTCCTGGAAAAAGACACTCTCTGGCATCGCAGTGCCTGTGCCTCTCTTCCAGCTCGGCAAATGCCGTATTGTCCTCCCATGATGGTGGTCTGATGGAAAAAGGAAACCTGATGAGCTGCCTCTGCCCCAGCATCAGGCAGGTGCAGGGTGTCCCTGCTCTTCCCCCTCTGCCATTTCCAGCTCCTGTGTGAAGCTGAACCCAGGACGCACAGAACAGTGCAGGGCCAGGACTGCTGGGGCAGACCCTGCCACAGCACAGCACTTGCACCCCCTGTGTTGTGAGCCAGGCAGAAGGACACCAACCTGAAGGGGATTCGGATCCCTGTTGTGAACATGTCTATGAGAAAGTCCCGCCTGTTTCTGCAGAGGGGGCACTGGAGGGATGAAACGCCAGAGCGCAGAGCCTGTCCCTGCAGGAGAAACAGGAGCAGTCAGAGTGAGGCCCTGGTGCTGCTGAGACCCTGCTGAGCCCCCCCGGGGGTTTAGGGAACCATTCTTACTTGAATACAATCCCTGTGGAACCAGGCGTTTTTGCACACTGGGCACACCATGGTGTTGAAGGTCTTTCTGTCCTCCACGGGCTCCATGCAGATGAGGCAATTGGTGCCCGGTTCCGGAGTGGCCTCCACTTCCTGCTGGGGGCTGTGTGTGGGACAGAAGGACCTGGGAGGAAAAGGGGTGGGTGAGGAGAGAAGTGCTGGCCCTTCCCTGGTTGGGGCCAGCAGGGGACAGGAGGTACCTGTATGGTGTAATGAACTGGGTGACACATCCTCCCTGCTTGGCACAGGGCAGGTGGAAGCTCAGGTCACAGTCGGTTTCGCAGCAGGCAATGGTGGCCCCGCTCTGGCCGCAGATGAAGCAGCTCTGGAAAGAGCAGAGCAGCCCCATCAGCAGCAGCCTCAGGGCCTCGTCCTTGTCCCAGAGCTGGCTGGAAGGGCTGGGGTTTTCTTGCTTGGGGTCTGGGCTGAACTCCAGCAAATCTCGCCTGGCACAAATCTCCCTGCTCATGTCAGGCTCTCACCTCCTGTGCTGCCCGTTTGACGGCATGTAGGATATCCCTTGGCAGAAAGCCCTGGAGTCCTACTCGTTCATTCTCTTGCTGATCAAGGAGAGTCGCAAAAAACTGCAGTAAAAACGATACTCACTGATGAGAACAGAGTGGCAGGGACTCCCTGTCAAGATATGGAGAGAGCCCACAAAGCAACTCACCAGACAGAATACATGGGCACAGAGCCCATGTTTCTGGATTTTTTCTCCG